TTAATGCAATGAGATAGTTTTATAAAAATCATCTTATTATTTGAGGTTCATGATTTTTCCCCTTATCAACTTAGGGTCACTTGCATATATTTTCTGTCAGGATTTCATAGGGTAATTTAAAAAAAAAAATCATTAAAAGACTCACACTAAAGATTTAAAATTTTAAGATTTTATCTTTGAAGTATACTTTTAATTTTTTTTAATAACCTTTGTTTGAATGAAAGACAACCTATATTTAATTATCAAAAAATAAAGTATGATGTCTCTTCTCAGTTCACACAAGTAACTCTAGAGTGAAATTTAATGTTACTCATAGAGAAGACTAGAGTAATTTTTTAATACGGTAAAAAATCTTAATTTTCATGTAATTAACAAAGTTAAGTTATGGCGTTCTTTTATATACTACTGTTTACCTTAATTTGCATCTTTTATATAGAGTAAGTTGTCCATATGTAATACAAGACATAAAAGTTCCATTCTTGTTAAGTCCACCTAATTAATTAGAAAAATTGATGATCGAATTTCAACCTTTCACAACCATAATTACTATAGAATAATTTATACCTTTATCCATATGCCTTTAATTGAACATGAGTCATAAGAGCGTCATTCTTGTTAAGTTAAATTATATGTTTTTCGATATCCAAGTAGACGTTCAAATACAAATAAACTAAATATTTCATATTGGCTCATTCTCACATGGTCACGCATATTTTATGCCTCATTCTATCAAGAGACCTAAGTCATAAGGAAAATAAGTTTGTACTTACTTCCTTATCATCAAAACAAGAAATCTATTCACAATGGCCTTACTAATGAGATTACCTTCAAGCATAAGGAAAAGAAATTTGTACTTACTTCTTTATCACCAAAACAAGTGGTAGAGGATCAAGTACAAATGAAGAAAAAAATGAAAAAGATAAAAAAAAAAGAAATAAAAAGAGAGGAAAATAAAAAAAAAATCGTCTAAGAGTAGTACTAAGGGAAAGGAAAAAGTAGGATACTTCCTACTTAGAGGTTATTCACATGGAAAGTATTTTTATCAACAAACAAGAAATTAATAGAAATCTCCTTGTTGAAAATCTCTTTTCCTTCTTCTCTGTAAAAATACTCTTGCAAGCACTACCACAACTCTTGAAAGTGACACTCTACCTAATAAGGTTAGAGAAATTTTGAAAGAATTTGATGATATATTCCCACAAGAAGGTCCAAAGGGATTACCACCTTTTAGGGGATAGAGCATCAAATAGATTTTGTTCTTGGAGATAGCCTGCCTAACAGGCCCACTTATAGGACAAATTCTCAAGAGACTAAAGAAATAGAGTCTCAAGTTCAAGAGTTGTTGGATAAAGGTTGGATTCAAAAGAGTCTTAGCCCTTGTGTAGTTCTAGTGTTGTTGATGATATATATATATATATATATTCCCACTACACTTAAAGTGTGAAATTTTATAGTTCTTTTTTAATTTTGTGCCTAGTTCGCATAAGCAAACATCAAAGACATGTTTAAGCAAGTTTCAGTTTAAAAGCATCCACTTTAAACCAAAAGAAAATACAAAGTGAAAGTTTATAAATTTATATTGTCTCTCAACAAATGCTTGGTCAACGTTTTTAACTTGACGAATGAAATAACCTTCGAGAATCACTTAAGTCGATCAGTGTCTTGTAACATCCCACTTATCATAATAAATTAATAGAAGATTTTTATTATTTAATTGGGAATAATTTGAAAAAAATGAGAGTTGTTATAAAAAAAATATTTTTTATTATAATTGAGTTATTATCTTTTAAAAATAGATAAGATAATTAAATTGGACTTTTACTGACGGATTATACACATAGGTAAAAGTTAAGGTTCTCATTTAAATACGTTAGTTATTAGGTTTGCTTCAATTCAAAATTTTATCATGCACCTTCTGATTTAAAGAAGGAAGAGATGATGAAATGCATGATGGCATGTGAGATGATGAAATGTAAATGAGTGATTATTGCTTCAATACTATACTTTATGGATAGAACATTGCAAATGATTATATATATAATAATAATTTCTTTATATTTTGCGTGGCTAATTGATCTTTTTTCTTATATTAGTAGTCGGAATGAGATATGTTCTCACTTTTATGTTTTTTTTTTTGTTTTTTTTTGTATGTATATATATGCAAAAGATTTTAATTTTGGAGGAGTTTAAGTTGTGAATGAGAATGCTTTGATAGGATATGATATCAGAGTTTTATATAGGACAATTTTTCTGTTATAATGAATTTAACATTTTAGTTTCTTTAATTTCATTTAAAAATATTTCTGCAAAGCATTTAAATTTCCTTAAATTGATTTGGTTTAATTTTAGTCTTTTAAATTTTAAATTTTGAATATCATACCTTTTTTTTTTTTCTTCTGTTTTTCTATATCATCAAATAAATATTTTAAATTATTATTATATTATCATGAAATTATACATGAAGGGTAAAAGATGTTACATCTCTAATCTCCCCCACCTCACTCACAAAATAAGAAAGAAAAGTGACTTTCCTTTAATTAGAGTACCTCTAAAAGCATTTTCACATGGTCTATGAGTTTTGTCTCGATGGTTGTCTCATCACACCAACCATATTGATGTCTTTGCACTATTATGGATAAAGGTATATAAATGTCTTACCATTTATATTGAAATGAATGAAACACATGATAATACCTTCTATTCATCTTAATGTTGTTCATAAATTTTAATCAACATACATATTCAAGAGACTCAATTGTGTACTATATTTATATTAAATTTTATTTGTTAAAATCTCTAGTTATTGTCTCGTGCTTGTGACTCGAGATCAATCGATCAGGTGAAAATCTACATATATATTAAATTGCTTAACAACCATATATACATCGTGATTCTTTCTACCAATTTTACAAACTAGTTCCATCATCATCATGTTTCCCACACTAAAGTGAACACAAATAAGACTAAAACAATGATTTGACAAGCATGACAATTGTATTAATTAATCGTCACCCATAAAGAAATCAATCATGCCAAAAATAAGGAAAACACTTGCACTAGAAAAACGTTGGCTTCCAAGTCTCAAACTGGGTCAGATTCCTCCAAGAGAACGCTCATTCAAATTTGTTCTTTCTGCAACGACGCGGCGCAGCATCATCAAAATTGCCTTGCTAATCCAATTATTGTATCCATAGTAAATTACAAAGAAGCCCTTCACTCGGCAAAAGAATATTTTAGAAAGAAACAAACAAATCCTATGACACCGGCAAGACACGGCGGATTTATCCATGTCAATCCTAAAACAAAAAATTTCCAAATCCACGTACTTAATTCTTACTATATATAATTGATAAAGTTATCATGATTGTGGTTGTTGGTACTTTAATTTCTTTCATTATTTTAGTGAATGACTCATATTTTAAGCAAAAATGATTTTTGAATAGTATTTAACAATTAAAAAAATTATGTGTATAGTAAGTAATATGATGTGATTTTTTTTTTAAAAAGTAATGAAGAGAAATAAAAAGTATATATGCTAACGAGATGCTTAAAAACGAGTGTTAAAAAATCACTATTTATTTAAGTAATGACTTTTTGATATTTTATATTTTTAAATTCATCAACACTTTTTATTATTTTTTATCTTGCTCTCTTTTTATTGTCACATCTATTATATTTATATTTTGAATACAATATACTTTTAATCCTCATAATATTCAATCTATAATTTTAGTTTTTTTATTTTTAATTCTGTAATTTTATAAATTCTTAATTTTGTTCACTTTGTTAAAATTATAACACTAGTAATAAGTTATGATTAACATTATATAAATGATAATAATTAATATTTAATAATATTTTAATTAAAATTTTAATTATCAAATTTACTTTATTTTATCATTTTTATGAGATAAAAATTAAAATTAAGAGTATTATTAAATATTAATTATTATTGTTAAGTCATAAAACTCATAACTATAGTTATAATTTTAAAAGTAAATAAATTTA